CCCCGCGCACAGGGCACCCTGCCAGCGCTGCCTCCGTGGGCTCATCCTGGGGAGGGTGAACCCATCCTGCCCGACCACGCGGACAAGCGCTGGCTGCTGAGGTAAGAACGGAGCTTTCCCCCTGCCTCTGGGAGCACCCGGCCCCCTTAGACACAAGGGGGTAGGTGGGTCGGGGGAAGCACCGTGTCCTCCACGCCCTCGGAGAGGCCTGAACACAAGGAATCGGTACAAACGGCAGATGGATGGAGCTGGGAGTACCCCGATGGCTTGCGCTCGGTTTCTGTGCAGCGCTGGGGCTCTCCCCAAGGAGCTGCAATGGCCCTGGCGGAGGCTGCGGCCTTGGGGAAACCCCTGGTAGCGGAGGTGGTTTGCTCTGCTCTGCAGGACAGGTTTGGGAGGGCTGCAGGCAACTGGGGGAGGTTTTGTGCACGCAGCGTTACGGGCTTTTGGTGACCTCTCATCGCTTGATTCGTTGCCCTAAAAGCCTGATCTTGGGGCTAACGTCCTACCAGCGTAAACGCAGCACTACCCTTCTGATTTTCTTCTGTTACACTAGTCTAACTCCGTTGACTCTAGTAGCGTTACTCCTAATTTACAACAGCAAAAATCATCTCGCGTTGTAACTTTAGGTTCCTAGCAGAACAGTGATGGATTTTGCTGAATTTTACGGTGGTCCATTTCACACTGGCTACAAACCCATCCAAAGTTTTGCAGGGTGAGCACTGCCCTGGCTGGAGCTATGCGCGCCTGCACGGCACCAATGACTTCCCCCCGGTGTCCTGCTCGTGGGATGGAGGCGGCGAACCAGGCGCTCTTTCTGTGCAGGTTCTGGGTAATCTTGACTTTGTCAAGTTTTAAATCATGGTAACTCCGCTGTGCGCAGGGAAATGCCGGTTGATTCACGCCAGCGTAAGAGCAGGCACAGTCACCACCCCCTGCCACCCCTGCCGAGGGTGGGTGTTTTGCTGACTGGCTCAGTATCGTTCATCCCTTCCAGCAAAGGCGAGTTGCTGTAGAGGTTGCGTAACGCAGAGCTCCCAAATATGCGAAAGCATTCTTGACTCTTTGCCCGGAGCCCACCAGTTCCTTTTGAAGATTAAGATACGAGCGATGAAGGCGATTCACCTCTGAGCGAACAAAGGTCGTGTGAAAGTATGAACCCGCTTGTCTTTTGCAAAGGGCTCACGCTGACAAATGAGAGCAGCTTCCTCTGGAGCGGTGTCTGCTCTGGACGGTTGGCAGCTGGTTTGTGCCGACTCGAGTCAGAAACGCTCAAGTCAACTGGTTTGTCAAACGTAGCTGGCGGGTGTGCGGCGGAGGGCGTCTGGGCACACGCACGCCGCGGAGGTTTGACACGTGTTCTGCACAGGCATCGTGCTCCAGCTGCGCCTGGGTGGCAAACCCAAGCGTCCATCCTCAGAGCAAGGAAGCGGCAGAGGCGCGGGATTTGCCAGCGCTGCCCTTCTCCCGTATTTCTACCCTGATAAGCCAGGGCTCCCCACCAGGGTAACGTCCCCCACGGGCATGGTCGGTCTCCCGCACCTGTCTTCTCTTTGGTTTATCAGATGACAGCACCAAGAGGAGGTTTTTTTGCAATGCCCATTAATTGTAGTAATTATCTACAAAACTGGAAGCTTTCAAATCAACTTTAGCTAATGATCACCAAGTACTGCTAATTAGCTGCTGAGCTACCAGCAGCAGGCTGGAGACAGGAGCCCGTACTGTGAGTTAGCGTGTGCTCTGCAGAGTTTGACGGAGCTCCTGTTTGAGGAGCCCTGCTCTCGTGTCCGGGTTCTGCTGCTCGCAGCGCCGGGAGCCACCTCCCACCGTAGCTGTAGATGAAGGAATCCGTCGCGAGTGCTCTGGGCAAATAAGCACCTGCAATGACAGAGATGCATAAAAAAAGAGAAACAGCAGCATGAGAGCCGAGTTGTGCAAGAGCTCTGGTATCCCCAGTGCTGGGTGGAGGGCTCTGCTCTGCACTTCTACAAATAACACCCAGTTTCTATGTCTTTATTCATGCTTATTCATTCCTTGCATCATCAAGCAAGTAGCTGAGGATCTCGGTGTGTGGTGTGGTTCTCCATCGCTGTAAAAGGAAAAACAGCATCCTGTGTTTTGTTAGGACACCCACACCTTGTGTTTGGAGATGCCCTGGCGCTGCGTTGGGTATCGGAGAGGATCAAAGAGAGAGGAAGGTGAAACTCCGTCTGCCCCTGTTGCGCAGTGTGGAAAGCTGTAATGAAGTCAGCGAGGGTCCCCTCCGCTCTGCTTTCTCACCTGTTTCCTTGGGGAGTTCCTTGGATTTGTACAACTGAACCTCTGATGGGCGAGATGGGTGCTAAAACCCTCAGCCTGTGTGAATGTCCTGGTATCTTCAGCTGAAAAGTGTCCTTGGCCCTCGGATTAGAGTTCAGTGCTAACATTTGGTGTGCACAGACTTTGGTTTAGCTTTAGTATGTCGAGAGTTGTCTTGGTTGTACGTTTGACTGTGACTTTGGTGCAAGGGATTACCCAGGGTTCCTGGAAACACCGAGACTCTGGCTCCGACGCAGCCCAGGCATCAGCAGCTGCTCAACAACAGCACTTAATAAAGCTGCTGCTTCATGTCGGCCACGAACTGATTTAATTGTGAAGCGTTTGGCCTCGCTGTAGTTCTGCTCTTGGTGGTATGATACGGAACAGCTCTGTACGTATTGTGCGTTCCTGTGGGCAAAGGGCTCGCGTCACCTCTAATCTCACGACTGGGAGTTTTGATCCAGTGGGATTTTCTTCCCCTTTTGAGGCTCAAGTGGAAAGGAGATGCGGGGGTTTTTTCTAGCAACAGTGCGAGGACTACGTGGGTGGCTGTGTCTGTGGGGATGGGGTCCCTTGTCCTTTTCATCCACTGAGATGGCATTGCATGGGTTTCTAATCAAATTGGTGTAAAAGACTGATGAAAATGGAAGAGGGCGTTTCTCCACCATCTGCAGAAGGTATTTCGAGCCCATTCCCTTCCTCTTTAATTAATTTGTTAACCATCCTTAACGACTGTGGGCCAGATCCTCAGCATGAATAAACTGGCCTAGCTCTGTTCCTTTAACTGAACCCGACTGATTTACGTTGGCTGTGGATCTTGTCCGAGCTTAGTCAGCAGAACAGCTCTCGGGGCGCTGGCATGTCGACGCAGTGCGTTGCAAGTCTGGGATACGATCCGGACACGGCTCCAGAAAAGCCCCATTTGTGCTGCCGCAAGGTTCTCTGGAGAGACTGGTGGCACCGGCGTGTTCTCTCGCTGTCTGTGGCTGGGTAAGTTCAAACGCTAGAAATAACAGCGGTCTTGCTCTTGGCTGCTCCTCCAGCCCTTCAGTAACCGCCCAGCAGGACTTCAGAATCTCAGCAGAAACAAACAGGGTAAGAAAGAGGAGTCTGAGTAACTGAAAAAATAACGTTACTTGCGCCTGGCAACAATTAGCCAACGGGCACTGAGGCACACGATCCGCCCAGGCTGAGCTGGGCTCTGCCTCCACCCCGTGACGAGCTCTGTGTCCGCACAGGAAAGAACGGCTCAGCACAGGGCGAGTGCAGCAGGATTTGCTCCTGCATCTGCCCCTCTCAGCAATGCTAATGTCAGGGTCAAAATTCGGGACTGTTCCTTGTGTGAGCTGTCCCTTTGCCGGTTGAGGAACAACTCCAGCTGGGACCGCTGCCTGCAGGAGTCGGGCAGCTGCCCACTGGTCCTGACTGGAGGGACTGGTGGCATGGCCCTGGAAGTCCGGGCGGTGTGTTTAACCCATTCCTCGCTGAGGGTGGGTCCCTCCTCCTGCTTCCCCAGGCATTTCCCGATTACCAGCTGCAGGATGTATTTCTTCTCCTATTTTACTCAGCTTTACGTCAGGAAAGCTCTGGTGAAGCCTATGGAGGAGAGGACAGGCAGAGGGGTACAAAACCAAGGAGGTGGTGCTGAGGTGCTCTGTAACGCTGCTCTCCAGCATGGAGGCTCCCTCTGCTGTAAGGAGGCACGCTTCCCCCCCGACCCTCTGTCCCTGCAAGGGCTCCTCTCTTCCAATCAAACAGAAAAATATTGCAGGTGAAATGTCTGTTGTACCAACAGCCAGAAGGATGTGATGGTTTTACACATGCACCAGAACTCACAGAACCTGTTTGTCAAATGCACTGACAGTCAGTGACGCTTTAATGGCCTTTACATGACAAACACGCTGTTTTTAATCTTGCCTTTAAAAATAATATTGTAAAATATGGACCAGCAGGTTGGACAAAGAGCTGGTAGTCAGGACTCCAGTGCTGCTTCTGCCACGTTGCTGCTGTGTGGCCCTTTGGGTGATGTTAGACCATCTAAAAGTGTCGGGACGCGCTATGCTCTCATCTTATAAGGTTTTAGACACTTGGTGCTCATCATAAACCTACTGTCCCCAGTTCACAAAAGGTCCTACGTGCCATGTGCTGCGGAGTTAGCTGCCTTTCAGAAATGGCGTGTGTCTTCAGGTGTCCACGTGCCTTTGCGGGTGAGCTCTGCTCATTTCTGTGCTTCATTTTTTTTTCTTGAGTGGGCAATAGTGCCGTTCAGTCACATTTCTGGTTTGCTATCTCTAGTTGTGAGAAGTACTTCAGAACAATTCTTACTTTCACCCGGCCCAGGGAACCCTTCCTGTGATCCGTGCTCTGTCCATCGCCCTGTGTTTCAGACAAACACAACGCTCGAGCAGTCACGCTTTGGAGACCCTTTGTAATCCACAAGCTCGTCCTGCCCAGGCCCAGGCAAAGGAGGATTTTTGCAAGGTGGGATGGCTGGAGCAGAGAGAGTCACGCAGAATTTCTGCCTATCAGGAGAAAAAGAGATTTGAGGAACTTGTCCCACACTGACGGGGTTTTATGTCTGGAAATAAAAGCTGTGGTTTCTGCCAAGTGCCCTGGGGAGGCGGATGCTTTATCCTCCAAAGCCAAAATCTTTGGGAAATGATCTGGGGAATAAAGGGTCCAACTGCAATGCCATAGACAGCCCACTTTGTTTGTTGTAAAATAAAGACTTGCCAGTGGTCCAGCCTCCGTAGGGACCTGGCTGCTCAGCTACTGCAGGGCAAGATAGCGCTGAAACCAAGGCAGCGATGCCAAATGACTCCAACTGGGAGTTCCTCCCATCCTCTCCCACTGACTGAAAGAGGAGAGGGAGCAGGCTCTAGCCCCAGCAGTTGGGCGTGGAGTGTTTTTGTGTTTTCTGATAATACAGACTGGCGATCTTCTCTCCTCGTAGTTAATTTGCCCTTTCCTCTAGCCCTCTGTCCTTATCAAATGCCACTTGGCATTGCTTCCCTCCCAGCCTACAGCTTCCCACTCTTTTTACAAAACCCCTGTTACGAGATACAACTGCTGAGAGATGTAGTAAAGATACACCTGCTGGGTAAGGAGAGCCGTGGGCTTTCTCATGTTCTCATTCTTTTCCATGGTCAGGAATTTATTGTTGATCTTAATCTTAGGCCGGGCAACATCACTGTATGGTGACAATAAATTTGCTTGAACAATGTGCTGATAGGCAGATTTATTTGTCTTCTCATAAGGACACCAAGGGGGAGAAGGGCTTGGGAGAAGGGAGTTTCCTTTCATGCCTTTTAATCTCTCTGAAACAAGCAGCAGGATGGAATAGGAGGGACTGGCAGTTCTGGCTTGAAGGAAGTACTCGAGACGTTTACAAGCCTCTCTCCAGCTCTCATTCCCAGCCTTAGCAGGGCCTGAGGAAATGCCCGGGTTTTACCCATCGGGTTCCTTCAGACGCTGTGCAGCCACGAGCATCCCTCACCGTTCCTGCCCCGTGGTTCCCAGGGTGGACTCTCTATGCCCCGTGTGTTCCTCGGGGGGTGAGCTTAGGCCCTGGCAATGCCAAGGGAACACAGCCTGATGCTTAATCTGCCTGGGGTACGAAGGATCTTTGTCCAGGTCATGTGTGCTCTGGCTTCTTGCTCTGTACAATGGGGATAAGAAATTACCCCTGCATCAGAAGGGTGGTGCAGTATTTAATTACTGTTTGTAAGTGTCTGAGAGATCATTTGATAAAGGGACCTCTGGTACACTGCTCCAGGGCGTTATCAACCCACACTCCCCTCCAAGGCAGAGCACTGTAACACTTCCACCTCTGAGCCAGTTCCTGTAAACCTGTGGCAATAACTGGCCCCGTTGGACCAGGTGACACAGCGGGACACTGCGGGATCACTCTGCTTTCTGACATATTTTCCTATGTCCCCTGAAAGCGGCGTGTCTTCCAGGCTGGGCTCACCTGAAGGGAGTTTTCTTTGCTTCCTTGGTAGGTTTATGTGGCTGATAGGTTGCGGGCTCTGGAGTAAATCTGTCTGTCCTTGCTAGGCGGGAGGTCCTTGGCTTGAAGCAAGATGTTATACCCTTGGGAGACACCTTGATGAGGGAATTGTTGATGTCGTAGTGACCTACAAGACAAACAGGAAAGGGATGTAAATACCAAACAAGGCTGCAACAGTGGCACTGAGGAAGGAGAGCGCATCAGTCGGTGAATGTAATGGAAGGAAAAAGAACCGGTATAACAGGACTGTGGGGAAATCACTTCTGGGTTTAAAAAGTGCTGTCCTGGGCAGAGCTTATTTCGAGGGACACTGATAAGGCAACGCTAAACTTGGTCCTGAGCATAGGAACAAACGGACATATTAGCTATTTTAAAGAATCAAACAAACAGGAGGAGAACTCACACCAGGTATAACTTGCAAGATAAGCTACAAAGCTACATGCGCTCACGCTCCAGGTCTCAAACCGCACCAGGCGATGGGCCAGGAGTAGACTTCTTTTGCAGCTCGAGTACTGTGGAGCTTGGTACATTACGCGCTAACGTGGCTTCTCCTGAAGCCTCTGGCATTTACACTGAGTTGTGGGGCGTTCTAGTGATTCCTTACAGCTACTCAAAACTGTCAGCACGATTTCTGGCTGGTTGTCTCAGTAGAGATTCAAAGGGACCTACCCACAGCTCTTGGAAGGGAGACTCAGTAGCGTCCTGACACCTGCTTAAATCTAACATGCTTTAAGAAGCTCCGAGTGACCTGAATTTGTGTGCGACGGTGCTCTGCACTCTGGAGGATCAGAACCAAAATCACCAGCAACATCTTTGCTCCCAGCTCAAGGCTCAGGTACGTAGGGAAGGCCATTTTCCAAATTTTTCCAAATTTAATCCTCTTGTGGTTGTGGAAGTAAACACTGTCTGGCCAGAAATGTTGCTTTGCTTGCAGAAATCCATAGAGGTTTGTTTCGGAAAAAGAAAAAGGGGTTGTGAATGCCTTTTAATTGACTTTACCTGTGGGTAATTACCAACAAAGGAAAATCCACATTTAAAATCCAGTTGTCTCCATTGTGACTGATTCTAATGATACAGCTGTAGGCAGTATTACGGCCAAAATCTGGGAGTGCTTACCAATTGTAGTAGGTAGCTCTCTTTGTGACTGCCCAGCATGTAAAGGTTGCATTTACACAGATGCTGAGGTCTTAAAACTCTTGCAGAAAATGTGGCTTTGTGTGTTTACCTGCTGTCTCCAGACTTCTCTGATGTCAGCTCTAAGTGTCTGGTTTTGTTCAAGTCACCAAGTGGGCAGAGAATTTGAGGTGGCACTGCCAAGATACCAAAGGGGTGTCTGCGTGGCAGCCCCGGGAAGCGCTACAGAGAAAAGGAGACGTCTCTGTGGCTGTCGCTGCTGGGACTGCAGGGTGGGCTGCCGCCTGTGAGCTAAGGATGACTTGAGGGATCTGTGTTTCAGTTCGTTCAGGCCTGCAGATAACTGCTGGAGTGCTTGTGCCCTCCTGCAGCTTGCACCAAGCTCAGCGTGCAGCACTGTTGTTATGCCGTTAGCGGTCCCCGAGCTAATTAACTTGGACAGAGGTGCCGAAAGTCCCTGGGGGAGCAGGTCACGCTGCTCGTCTGGAGCACTCAGCTACCTGCTGCAGCCACTGCCTTGGTGCACGCTGTAGCTCTTCTGCAAAATATACACAGAAACACATTTCACCCGCAGTTCCTAAGGAGCCCCACATGCCAAGTGAGAATTGCTCTCCTTACAGAGTCAAAAAAAACTATGGTGCCAAAGGAGCTACCCAAAATCACAGAACAGATCACCGGTGAAATGGGACGAAGGAAAGATTCTTCCGATTCCCAGGATGAAACCTTACCTCCTGCAACATGCTCTGGGATTTAAAGCTTTTTATTGTTGGCTGTTGAAAAGGACTTTTTCTAATTGGGCTATAGTTAGAGAAAACATCAAATGGTCAAGGCTAATTCAGTGATGTAAGTGGAGGAGTCCAGTTCAAGCACAAGAGTAAGGAGGTAGCAAGAAGACACCTGCATGAAAGATTCAAACACAAAAAGACTGATACTTTTCCCCTGGTTTTTTTTGTTATGTTTCCTGTAGTAAGCTGGTGAAATGCCTACAATAGTTGTGAAGTTTATAACTGGCTTTATTTTAATACAGGATTTGGTCCCAGAGCTGAAGATGGCTTTGAGGACAGCTTGGGACGCTGTTTTCTTGTTTCTCACTCATTTTTTCTCCAATATTCATCAATTTTCAGCTGTCACTACCTCAAAAGCAGATCCTCCAGCTACTAGACAAAAGTTCCTTTTTGCCTGAGTGAGAGCAGTGACCACTGCAGGATCTGTCCGCCTTTTTCTTCTCAGATGTCTCTTTGTCTATAGTCATAGATTATCAAACACTGCCGTCTTTTAAATAGATAGTTTCCTGTTCTGCTTCTTGTAGGTTAGATATTATCTCCTACAGTAAATCATGAGTCAGTGATTAATTCAAGAAGGCCGTTCCCAGAAGCAAATTCTTACAATGTTAAAAATAATATGATGCAAATCCATTATAGTATGATATAGAAAATAATTACGGCCTGCAAACTAGTTTAATCAACTTAGAACATGCTGGGGCAGATACTCAGTCGGAGTGAGTCATTATAAGAAAGTTCACAGTCTTAGCGTACAGGTTGTGTGAGCGAACATGATTACCCCATGTCAGCTGAGTCTTGGTAACCCTGTACGTGTGCTCTTTGCACACCCAAATTGTGAGGTAAGGCATGCTTGTTCAAAACACCTTTGCTGATGTTTAAACTGTATCAAATTACTATAAAAGCATGAATTGCTTCAAGAACATGCATGCAGCCAGTTAAGATGTCTCAGCTGATGAGTGGCAGCTAATTAAGCTTATTAAATTGTGTCGTCTTCATTCTGTCTTGAACAGCTATGCAAAGTCATCAAATATTACAAAGAGTCAGCGTGCTCTGCCTCACCACACAGTGGTTGTATCTTGCATTAAAGTGCAGTTTAAAAGGGGACAGCTCACTAGGAAATGGCTGCAATGCAGAAAAAGACAAAAATTCTCTCTAAAGAATAACAAAACAATCCAAAAGTGATAACAGCTATAGCACGACACCATTGAAGGGACAGGAAAGTCCATTAGCAGTGCGTATATTATTATAAACTATCTGATAATTGTTAATAACACTTTGTGTTTTGTTAACATCTGCCATATCTCAAAACACACTCTGAATTCCTGTGGACTAACGCTTACAACACCCCAGCGAAGCCTGGTCACCGTGGCATGGGTGGGGAGCATCAGGCCCAGAACAGTTAAGCGACTTACACAAGGGTGAATCAGCAGGAGGTTCAGGAACTGAACCTGAAGGCCAGGTCCTCAGCTGATAAAAACTGGCACCGCTCCACAGCAAGTGGAAGGGCACAGCCAGTTACATCAGTTGTGCGTACGCAGACCTGATTCCCAGCTCTGAGGTTGAACCTCAAAACCCCGTACCTGTTAAAGACGTAACATTCACCTGCCTTGACAGAGGTTGCTGCTGTCCCAGGGTCAGGGCTGTGTTCTTCCTCCCTTGGTATTGAAGGGTTACTGCCCGATGTGTGCCCAAGGTCCACAACAGCTTGGGGTACATCTGCAGCGCGGTCAGAGGTGAGACAGCAGATAACGTGGAAATAACCTGACCTAGCTTCACGCTCGTTCATTTAGATACTGGTGCCAAACTGCCCACGGTGGCGCAGACCTCAAAATCATCCGGCACAAGGTAAATACTTGCCACAAAGCTCTGGGCTGTGGCAGCTACCCTGAGAGCTGTACCCAAACGAGGTAGGTTACAGCTAGTTCCAATGTTTTCTGGAACATCCAATATCACTTCATAAACATTACACGTTAGCTGTGACCCCCCCGCTTTGTCCTCCCTTGAAAACCTACTTATGTTGTATTGTTTGGGTGCTGGAGGGGGGATTTTCTCAGTCTTCCTAGTGATGGGTTCGTGAAACATGCTAGAGTTCCCCTTGCTTGGGCTGAAAAGATCTTGTAGGCATTCACACCTGGATAGCTGGAGATTTTCTTGCATGCAGTGCGTGGAATCTCGAAACGGAGGGAGCCAGGAAACTGTCAGTACGTGAGCTGGGAAGAAACTGGGAAGTAACCGAGACCTGGAATTTACCGAATATAATTTTTAAGGACAAATCACCTTTTGCATTTTAAAACCAGCAGAAACGGCTATGCAGAACTGATGGCTGCAAGTTCTATGAGATGAAATGGGGGTGAGGGTGACTTTTTCAGGCACTAAGTTTCATTGATTTCTTTTTTTTGGGGGTGGAGATGCTCATTAGCTTGCAAAAAAAACCTTAAAGACAACCTTTACGTCTTTTGTTAAAGAGAACGGATCCTGAAGTTATTCACTTTAGCTATGGATTTCAGATAGCTTAGCACAATATTCTAAATGAGTCCACAAAGTGTGTGTGTGCGTGTATCCTTCTTTACGTTTTGGTAACTTAACAACAGCTCTGCTAATTTTGCTTGAAAAAGTTTATGCAAAATTAAAAAGTATCACCTTGGGTGAGGCTGAGCAAAGGAAATTTCAAGCCCTAGTCGAAATCTAAAAGCTAAGAGCATATGAAAAAGCAGCTTAGATTAGCTGTTGGACTTCCACCTTAATTATAACTCTCTGACAATGAGAAATCCTTTTCCTTCTTGGCTGGATTTTAGAAACATCCTCAATACAACACTAAATAGGTATTGCAGACATAGTCAACAGAGTTGGTTAAAGACGAGATCCGTAGTCCACTGAAGTCAATACAAAGGCAGCAGGTAACTTGAGCAGCTTTGAAATCGGTCTGAAATAAAATGCTTCCTCTTACCAGCGCAGGGAAGAACCCAGTTCCTTTCTTTGACAATGAGGTGCTGTTGATCTCGGCAGACTGAGGAGTGACACTACAGAATCCTGGACCTGGGGTTTCATTCTAGCAAGAGAAACATCACACATGTTGACCAAGCTGTATCAGTTACCTCTCTGCCGGGGCTAATGCAGTGAGACACAGGCACAGGCTCACACCGATGCTAACGGGACAGCGCCTTTCCCCAGTACATCCCTGCTGAGCGTAGACCAAAACACACCAATTCTTTTAGGAACAACTCTGAGAACAGTCATGCTGGAAAAGAGCCATGGTCCATGCAGTCCATATGTGTCCATATGTATCTAAACAACTTTTAAGCCTTGCTTACAATTGGTCTTACTGGCTGTTATGGCTGTGAGTTCTACAAATGAGCTACTATTAATTTTTTTTGTTGTTTATTTGTGTATCTGTTGCTCCAAACAGCTTTCATGGTAAATTACCATCCCTGTTTACAAATGGAGAATGAACATTGTTTGTAAAATTACTTGCTTCTTTCAAGTTTAAATTTATTGGTTTTTAAGTTTATGCTGATATCCTTCTCTTTTATATGATATGGGAGAAGGTCACTAATTTTTCTTCATTATCCCACATGCATTTCAAGCCATCTTATATGCCTTCTCTCTAAATTAAACATCTTCAGTGTTTTCAGTCTTTACTGGGACTCTAATGATCATATCTCTTATTTCTAAATTGAGTCTATTTCTGCCGTAGTAGTTTTTTAAGAGTTAGGGTGGCCAGAACTAAATGTAAGATTCCAGCTAAAGGTGTACCAGCAGCACAAATGATGGTATTATTGTATTTCCTGTATCATTTTCCAAATCATCATTTGCACCTCAAATTTTATGCTTTAATTGTAATTGTGCATTGAGGTAGACATCTTCATTGTTTCAAAATTATAACCTTTTCATGCAAGTCTCCTGTTGCATGGAAAATTGAATATTTCTGACTATAAGGACGATCAAATTTCTCTCCTGTCTACATGGCAATTTGTATAGACTGGGAGCCACAGCAAATCTAAAATCTCACCTGTAACATCTGAGTTGGACCTAATTAATTCAGCATGTGGGCAGAATGCATTATTTGCAGTCACCACACCTTTCCTGACTGTTCTCTTTCTGCCTTTTCAAAAAGACGACTGGGTGGGATTCTATTTATAGAGCCAAATAAATCAAAACCTGCCTGTGTCGTACTTGATACCTCCAGCTTTTCAGATGTGGTCCCATGAAGTGCTGAATGCCCTTGGTAGCATGCCCTACTTCTGCCAATCTTAGGAAAAAAAAAGTGGGCCTTGGAAGGTCTGGGGCCATACAAGATGAAAGAAATAGCTTTGTCCTAACATAAATGTGAAATTATTCCAGTACGTAGGATGGAAAGAGCTGAACTTCCTCATCTTTAAGAACATCCTACCATTACATGCACTTCATTGATTGCCTTGTCTGCCGCTTAGCAATGGAAAATATTCTGGAAGTGCCTGGAAGCGACTTAGTTCCTGATCTGATGATTTCAGAGTCGGATTCTGACAGTGATCAGATATACCCACACACACCCCCCAGAAATAGCGCGTGCATAACAGAGCGGGAAAGAGAATAGGATGCATGGGATTGAAGAACAAGGCAATGTGCAGTTGAGAGGAGAAAAGAAAGTAGTTTGGGCATTATTCCACTCATGCAAAGATACGAGGCTGAATTAAAGGATTTGACTGTGTAGAAGTTTTTGCAGGATCAAGGAGCAGTACAGATGCAAGGTTAAAAGTGGGGAAATGGAAGCCTGCATGGGACAACTATATGGTCGATTAAAAAACCAACATCCAGACAGGGCCTGTGCTGATGGCCATATAGCAGCAGCAACACTGGAATGACTCGCTTGCCCTTAAAAAGCAACCAGAACTGGCAGGTAGAAGAATGGAGGCTCTTGCTCTGCTTGGTCTTGCAAAAGAGTAGACTAAAGGGAAGAACAGGTGGGAGTGGGCAGGCAGTGTTGTCTACTGCAGAAGATGCTGTTGATTTATAGTGAGATCATGGGCAAATCACTTCACCAGTCTGTTTTTTCCACTGCAGCTGAGCTGTTTCTTGCTACGTGCATGGACAAGTGTAATAGTGCTACTACAGTGCTAAAAATAACAACACCCAAATATGTGCCACTTCCATTAAAACTGGAAGAGCATTGCAAGGAATCAGATCCCACATCTCCAGTTCTCGTTATTTGCACACATAATCCTTGTGGATTTGGCCTTCCTTATCAAAATGCCACCCAAGTTATAACGCAGATGGTCACAAATAATCTTTTCACATATTTTTCTTTGTAGGAAAATGCTTCGGGACAAACTAAAATTTGAAGTATGTGATGCAACTCTGGGAATTCCAGCAGAGCTGCTCTGACCTACGCTATGTTTCAGTTTAGCCCCTGTGTGATACTCCTTGGATGCTAAACTGGCAGGAGGAGATTTCTGAAGATGTGGTCTGGGGGCTTTGTCGACACAGAGCAGGTAGGGATCCTGAGCTAGCTAATTTTTATCAGCCCCCAGAGCCAAGAAGCAGAGCAGACACTGGACTGCCTTGATCTTCGGCTTGCATCTCCACGTGGCCCTGCCACGTGGGAGCCGTGCCACGTGCTCGAGGTTCTCCACCCTGGACAAGAGGGTTGTGCTGAGGAAAGCAAGATTGGTCCAATTTGCTAGAACTGGCTATTAAAATTGCAGCAGGTTTCCAAAGCAGCTGATAAAAAACTGCATCTGCAAGCTCCATTCCCTAGTGTTGCCCAGGCTTGGCTGCTCCTGCTGACCAGCCTGCTGAGGCTTGGATGGAGTCCCATGCTCAGCCCTGCCCCAGAAAGGGGAGTTACTACTCTGGCAGCGCGTTCTTGATTAGTGCCTTCCAGGATAGCACGTGTCAGGGAAACAGCTACGGAGTGCTTCTCCCATCCAGTGCATCCAGCTCTGGGTTTGGCGTGCCCATCATCACCTCAGTGCTGTTGAAAGTAATTGGAGATTAGACATCTACATGCCCTTGGAAATTTACCTCCTGCTAAAGTGACTGCACACCTCTGTGCCCTTTGAATGCTTTGAATCATATTCTGGTAATATAAGGGGGTACTGTGCTGCGAGGTAAGTCTGTCAGAAATACCTTGCAAACTCCAGTGCTCTGGTACCCGTAGAGATGTGTGGAGACAGCGGTAAACTGGCAGCTACAAAAGTGGGGCAACTCACCTGTTAGGTATTCTAGGTCAGGCAGTAAGAAGCAAATAAGCTCTTTACATTGCCTAAATTACAAGCAGGTAAACTTCATGTACTGGCATTTATCCCTGACTAGCCTGCTAAAGGAACGTGCTCCAAAATGGCCTGTGCTGAAGAGGACACAATCAAGTGCTTTTGGTGGAGGAAACTAAATCAGCAACCCCCAAACGCTCTAGTGTTAATGGATCTAATGCTTCCCCTCCCTGGTGCAGTAACTTTTCTCTAGGGATAAAGCTTAAGAAAGAATCAGCCAAGCCCTTGTGTAGCTTGTGGTTTGGCTTCCTGCCTGCTCTGCCCTTCAAGCAGGAAATTCTCAAAGGGAAGGGAGTGCTTTGTGAAGCTACCTTAAGACTCTGCCTCTTCTCTTTTAGTCAGAACTTAGCATCAGGTCATCTGGAACTCCTGGAAGCTGACCAGACAGACTGATGGCGCCTACAGAAGGCATTTAAGCAACTTCTCTACCTTGATCATTTTCCCTCATCTTTTGTCCTTTACGTCCTTGATTGCTGTTATTCAATCCTGAGATAATACACTCCTGATATCACTGAGATGGGAGAGATAAGCAAGGAGGAAGAGATCAAAGGAAGGCGAAGAAAGAGAAGATGCCAAAGGCAGAAGAAGAAAGAGGGAAGATGCCAAATACTTCCTTGATTTACCTACTTTACATACCCGGTACACAAAGTTTCAGAAATTCTTAATATACTTAATTTTCAGAGTTCTGGGGTTACCGTGTAGTAACCAGACAGCAGGAGACTGTCAGCAGGGGCCATGGGCATCCTCTTGCCATCAGCAGAGGAAGTAGCTTGAAAGCTGGATCCAGAAAGCCCAGGAGGCCTTGGGCACCTGTGAGTGTTGGCTGGACTTGAAAAGAAACCCGGTGGAGTGCAGGCTGGGAAAACTGTATGGTTATTTTAAAATATCTTTCTGCTTCCCTCTGCTGGCCAGAGAACCGATGTACCAATGTAATTCCTGCAAATCAGGCAGGGATCAGGGTGACATAGGAGGGGGTCATCTTGTACTGTTGCTAGTTGGCTGGACTTGAAAAGAAACCCGGTGGAGTGCAGGCTGGGAAAACTGTATGGTTATTTTAAAATATCTTTCTGCTTCCCTCTGCTGGCCAGAGAACCGATGTACCAATGTAATTCCTGCAAATCAGGCAGGGATCAGGGTGACGAATAGCACAAGATAGGAGGGGGTCATCTTGTGCTGTTGCTACACAGTGTTAACTCCACTGATTTCTTTGAATTTGCTCCTGAATTTCAGAAGAAATGCAACATGTATGTGTGTGTGTCCTGGAGAGCTCGGGAAGATTGGAAATGGGACCAGAGACAAAGCTGGGTGGGTGAGATGGGGTGATGGTACAGATGAGGGTGCTATATGTGGAGTAATTTCGAGGTTTAAACCAATAATTGCAGCACCATTTTTCTCATCCTGTTATCAGTTGTGATTACAAAGTTAATTTAACAACCTTCATCTAAACTTAGTTGCTATTCTTGCTTCAAAACAGGATCATTACGACCTGCAAAAAAATTCAAAACAAAGATATAAACATCAAATATTTTTGTTACTCACTTGGTGATACTGCAGTCTCTTTGATTGAGGATTAAAGCCCTTTTTTTCTGAGTTTGAGATTACTTTCCTATGGTGTTTACAAGGACTAGAGGAAATCTTGAAACCTAAAAGGAACAGCCAATGATAACAAAATTCTGAATATGGAGATAGAGGAAACATGTAACTACAACGTCAGCTTTCATTTTAAATAGGATGTGTAAGTTAAAGGCAAATCTAACATTAATGCAGTATTCAAGTCAAGAAATCAGCAGTCATTTCTGCA